ACGATCTCGCGGTCCGTGAGTTCAAGCCCCGCGTCGGGCTCTGGGCTGATGGCTCAGAGCCTGGAGCCTGTTTCCGATTCTGTGTCTCCCTCTCTCTCTGCCCCTCCCCCGTTCATGCTCTGTCTCTCTCTGTCCCAAAAATAAATAAACGTTGAAAAAAAAAATTAAAATCAATGCTCTAGAGGGATTTGCTAGTTGCTAAAGAAAAAAACTAAACTGCATTCTTGAAGTATGCCTCCCCTTAGTGACCTCACCTACCACAACTCTGGTAGTTTGGTGGGCTTGTCTTTCAAAGGCCAGCTGTCTTCTTCTGTACTTAAGAAACTGGACTTCATGGATTCATGGAAGGGTTGGCATCAGTCAGGGTGATTCTAGAACACAGCCCCTCCCACTGCAGGTGGGATACCTCTTGGTCTGTTGAAACAATGAGAGCCACATAAATACAGTTCACATTTTCCAGAGAGTCCAAGTGACTCTTCAAATGACAGTTATGTAGACTTTGAGTTTTAAAATAAGAGGGCTACTACTTGGGAGTTTTTAAATATTGAAAGATAACTCTTATTATAACAGGATCTGCCCTTTTCTGGGATACCTTTGAGTTGTTCTAAAATTCTACAGTCCTGGGCTATGACTGGGGTCTTATCAGCTCCAGTCTGTCTCCCCCAGTGTGGAAGTCTCTTCTGTATCATCCCTGACTCCTCGTTTGCAACTGGACTGGGTGGGAGATGGATTCTTCCAGTACTTGATGAAGCATCCCATTCTACTGGTGAGCACCTTAATTAAAAAGACCTTTACCTTGACCCAGAATTTGATTTGTCTGTCCTGCTCCTCTGTCCCCTCCTCCCCTCCTTTAGACAATGGACACCACGTCTATTGGCATTTAGGTTGGACCTTTCAAATAGTTGAAAGTAGCAGTTATTCCTTGTTTTTGCTTTTCCATGAAACTCCTCCCTCCCCCCATTTTTCAGTGTTTCTGTACAGGATACGGTTTCCAGATCCTTCAGGATCCAGCTGGATCCCAGGCAGTCGTTCAGAGAACACTGTGTGATTGGGTCTGGTGGGTGTGGACAGATTTGAAGAGATGACCTCACACTCATTTCTTCATTACCTCCTGTCCTATTTTCCTTTCCATCAGTGTTTGTTCTTCCTATTTAAAGATGCTGGTCATTTGTAAGGGAAGACACAAAACCGGGATCAGTAATCCTACCTGCTGTCACTCTTCTGTCATCTTCTCTAAGCACAGCTTTAATCCAGGAATTCTCAACAGGGTATAGTACCTCAAGGGAGCAAAAGAAGTCTGAGAGTAAAATGGTGTGTGGCCCTCCAAAGCACAGTCCTACCCCACAAAGTCTTAGTTCTTAGTATTTCATTTCTCTTGTTAGGGAGAATTTAAATTCAATTTTTCTCTTGGGGGAAGACACTAGTGCAAAAACTGGTTAAAAACACTTCTTTAAACCAGAACGTCCCTATGAAAATGCTGAAATATTTTTTGCATAAAAGAAAGCCCCAATCAATGGGAATTTGGCTCTCATTCTACCCTGGCATATAGGCTAGTGTTTCTCTCAGTGTGTTCCATTGTCCCCATGCTCACCCGAAAAAGGGTTTTGTGTTAAAGTTTGGGAAAAGCTGGGCTTAGTGAGTTCCATAGATTTTGCGGTAGGGCTTCTCAGGGCCTCTTCTGCAGGTGTGCCCTGCGAAGTTCAGAGGTAGGACTGTTTTTTTTTTTCCGTTTCCTTTGCTCAGGAGGAGGACACTTACCTCCAGGGCCTGCCACTTCCTGGCTGCGTAACCTTGAGCAAGCCACTTGATGGCTCAGAGCCTGTTTCACAGACTAAAACCTTCACAGGGGGGTTTTGAGACAGAAATGAGTAAATGTATACCTAGCACAATACCTGGCACATAAAGACTTCACCAAAACAGCCGGTGTTTTCATTTATTATTGCTAGTAGGGTTAACAGACTGGAGAGTCTTAAATTGTCCATAGGCCACTAACTGACCTAAGTCTCAAATCCCAACCTTCCTTCCACAAAGATGTTAAATGCCCAAACACACCCTCTTACCTGTCTGGCTGCTCCGTCCTTGCATTAGTTGGTTGAAAAATCAATATGCCTAGCTCTCTCCTGTTCCTTTTCTCAGCCTTTGGTTGGAAAACACTGGATTTGTGCCACTTTGGTTCCTCTCCAGAGGGTCTGCAGAAGGGAGCCAGTGTGGACCAACACATTGTTTCAGGGGCTTTCCCGGGTCTGGCCCCCAAGACCTTGAAGTTGGAAGGTGCCCAGCCCAGTGCCTCACCCATCACGTGGGTTCAACAAATGCCAGCCCCTTCTCATTATCGGCTTGGTACTTCCTGTCCTCACACTTGGGCTTCTCATTTGGGTTTTACTTTCCATTGCTGGCATTTGTTCCAGCAAAATCTTACCCATCTGGCCTCCAAAGTAGAGCACCAGTGCTTTCCTGTAACCTTAAGTACAGCTTTGCACCTGGCCTTGAGAGCCTTGCCTCTTGAGGCAGGTGGGCCTCAGGTGAGACCATTCCATGTGTGCTCCGACCCAACCAGCATCTCAAATGTGAAACCGCTTGAGAACTGAGCTATTTCAGGGGCAAGAAAAACATTCCAGGAAAAGCATTTTCATTTTATTCAAAAATTATTTACAATTAAGCCTTCATGAATGCTTTATTTTAAAATCCTTTTTTTTTTTTTTTTTTTTTAACTTTTTTAACCTGAAGGAAATCTTGGGGAATAGAGTGGGGAATAGGGAGGGGAGTGGTGACAGGCTCCTTTGGGAATTTGCAAAGGGATGGGTGTATGCAACAGCAGTGGCCTGAGCCCCATGGCCTAAGCAATAATGACAGGAAGACTAGCCAGGCAGGCCCCCTTGGGCCAGTGGCCAGCTGGGCAGGAAAATTGCACAATGACCGTTCTTGTTGAAACTCAGTGTTCACCGGTTTGGGTTTGAGGTGCCCGGCACTGAGGGCTGACACTTTGCCAGTTCCTATTTGGCAAGAGTAGGTGTTGGGAGTAGGTGGCAGCTGTGGAATCATCTAGGAGTCATGCACTGCTGAGCCTCAGGCAGAACTGAGCAAGGGGTGAGAAGTCAGGCATACACTGCTGGAAAGAGCATCTCCAGTGGGAAAATCTTTACTTCCAAATGCTGTGGCACTCTTGTCTGCAACATATGCTCTGGTTTGGTGGGGAAGCGGGGACAAACGTGTGGGGGTGTGGTATGATACCCTAGGTTGTGCCAAGGATCTTTGAAGACTTCCACTTCTTGGCAGGTCCTAGCTTTCCCCATTGATTTGCTAGACACTAGAGAAGACCACTTGTATCTGTCTCGAACTGCCCACTGTTCACTTCACTCTGCATTGCAGAAACTTTGGGCTGAAAGTTCCACTGAGTTCAAATAGTGGTTTTTAACTCTTTGTGAGTCTGAGACATTTGAGAATCTCATGAAAGCTTTAGCCCTCTGGAAAACACACATAAGAACACATACACTAAATTCTGACAGTCTTATGGGCCTCATAGACCTTCTGAAGTCCAATAATGGAACCCCTGGGGTGACTGACCCCTAAATTAAGAACCCCTGAGTTAAAGATTCCTATGGGTAAGCATTTTCTTTTGAGATGCAAATAACCCAGAGGAATGAATTATCAGTCTCCTTCCCTCTCCGTGTGATTACTGATTGAATGGGTATGGAGGTGTGGGAGTGACAGTTTGGGGGGAAAGAGGGGGTAAGCCTGGATAGTATACCCCAGGGGAAGGTTTGGAGATTGAGCAGGCACCACGGGATCACTGGATCCCTGATTGAGGGAACTCAGGGAATGGGAGACAGAAAGGGAGACAGGTGTCCCAAAGACAACCTTCACTTATTTCTACATTTTCCCAAAGGTTGGTTGGCTGTGTGGTTAGTGATCTGTGTGATTAGTGATTTTATTCTTGAATTAGGTATGTGGCGTTATTTCGCCACCTAGTGGCCATACTTGGAATTGACTATGTCCCATCATCCGGGTGAAAAGAGATCTAGTAAATTCTTGGAGAGAAGTACACTTAGCTGACCTGCTGGGGAGGAGTAAGGGGTGGAGTGGGGGGAACAGATGAAAAAGGACAGCGATTCTTCAATGTTCCTGTTTAATGCACATTGAAGTCCTATGAGAGCTTGCATCCTTCTTGGCTGACCTGGGCACTCTTTGGTTTGTCATGGCTATACTTGCTTTAACAGCTTAGAATTTTTCTACATAAGTTTTTGTTTGTTTGCTTTGATTTGAACTTAAAACCTGAAATTCCATCTCTGGCTCCCAACTGGGTCTCTGCTCCTTCTCTTCCAGAGCAGATTTATTGATGGGTTGATGACTGCTGATAGGGAGCCAAAAAGATGTGTCCCTGGGCAAGACGGTGACTTGATGTTCCATCTCATTGTCTTTCCATTCCAGCTGAGACACACTTCCCAGGCTGCTAGAATCCTTATCTAACAGGAAACTGGTCACCGACAGTTTTCTGTTCTGTAACATCACATGCCACCATTGCCGAGTCCCACAGCTCTAAAGTCCTGGAGAAACTCTTGGTGTATCTCCTGAACTGACCTTCATACCTGCTGCTCCAGCTGCCTATACTCCTGTCTGTCGGTGGCGCCTTCTGAGCTAAGCTAAGCATGAAATATGGCATGGGGGGGATCCCAAAGAACAAAAAGGGAGTCGGGTCCCAGAGTGGCATTGTCAGCTTGGGGTCATTTCTTCTCCAGTCCCAGACTGTGCCGTGGAGAAGATCATTTCTAGCATGTTCCACCGGAGGCCCCTCCATCCATGATGGGCACAGCAAGGCTCTGAGTCAAACTGGAGGCAACAAGGGGAAATCTGCCAAACTGACTGCTAGGGGTGAAGAGGTGGTAAGGAAAGCAGAATGCTCTGTCACCTGTGGGAGGCCTCGGGAGACACAGAAGATGGGAGGGTGGGTTCTCCCTCAAAGCTCTTGAATCTCATACACCCAGCAAACACTGTCTGCCCTGTCATGTGATCAGAGGCATTAAATTGGAGTTCTCCTCAGAGGCTCTCTCTCCGTCAGGTGACCTCTTCCTTTTTCGACCACCTGAAAAACAATTTGTAAGGATCAATCTCTGGCTGGGAGGACATTCCTTGATATGGACTCTCTCCAAAACAGATGCGGAAATGGTGGCAAAGCCCTTGACAGTTTTGCAGAAAGTAATCTGCATTGCATCCTGGTGTTGATATCAGCATATTTATATCTACCTGGGATGACATCTCCAAAAAGCCAGGCTAGTGCCAGTGGAATGGAGATTTCCTGAGAGGATTGAGTAAAGCGCAGGTAATGCCTCAGAACCAGGTCTTTCCATCTCCTCAGAACCAGGCCCAACTGCCTGGCAGACACCTCCTGTGAGAAGGCTGGTCTCACAGCCTTTGGTGTTCCATGAGCCAGGGTTTTGGTGGGTGTAGCTGGGGGCCATTCCCACACACCTACGTTCTGTAGCTTGGAAACAACCTTCTTTCTGCATTGGGGCAGGTGGGGTAATCATACAATTGTCCTCAAGGATGGAAGGGCACTGTGTTCCCAGCTCTGTTGTTTTTAGGGAGGAGTATTTTTCTGCTATTGACTTCCTTTCATGAAAGATACTGCTTTCCTTTCTACTGAGTCTCTGGGACACAAATTCTTTCTTTAAAGGACCAGACAGTAAATCTTACAGGTTTTGCAGGCCATTTGGTCCCTGTTGCAACTGCTCAACTCTGCTATTGTGGCCATAGATAACAAATGGGTCTACGATCCAGTAAGTCTTTATTTACAAGAACGGGCAGGAGAGGGAGGCCAGGATTTGGCCGTGGCCATGGCTTGCAGACTCCTGTCCTAGATGACAGCCAACTGAATGGGATGCATCCCCCCCTCCCCCATTATCAAGGGCACAGTACTGGCCCAAGCCCTGTTACAGATTTCCATGATTATACCTCATTAGGTTCCCACAAGGAGTCAATGGTTCTTCCTCCAGGGGTAATATCCTAACATAATTTTTCTACTAACTAGCTGGTGGGAGGCTTTCATCTAAATGAAGAGCTACTCACTCAAGGTTCTCAGCAGCTTCTTGCCCACGGTTTCCTCAAAGTCGCTACTGCAGGGGCTGGTCTCTGTGTCCAGGTTGATATTACAACATTCACTATCTGATGCTGAGAGAAAGGAAAGAAGAAAGAACTCAAGTCTTCCCAACCTACACACCCAGGGATGTAGGAAGGGTGATTCTGAGTGATGTTCCTCAGCAGGTGAAAGTTCAAAACCAGAGCCAAGGCAGCGATGGCTGTAACAGGAGGGGATGTCCGGGAAGGTGTTGGCTCTCATTAGTTAGCAAAGGGCAGTTTAGTGCCACAAAAGGAACAAAGAGACTAGGAGCGAGAATCTAACAATATAAATGTTATTTGGCAGGAGAGAGATGAAGAGGACAAGATGTTCTCTGTTCAGTATCTTTGCCAGACAAAAAGCACATTTGAGGACCCTGAGGTGGGGATACTTACTCAGACCCTGGGAAATCACAGGGCTCAGTAACAATTAAGCACACGTCTGTTATCTTTCCCACCGAACCCAGTGGGGATTTAGAGAGGCACAGAATCTCAAAGCCAGGAAGAGGCCCAGGCCCTTAATACCAGTGAGGTAAGAACCTGACCTGGGAGGCAGAGTGGGGTGGTGGAAACAGCATTGCACGCAAAGGTATGAGGCTGATCCTGCTTTTAGTGCAGTATATAGACCAGACAAGTCTTTTCTCAGGGCCTCAGGGTCCGCATGCAAGGTCCCTGTGTCATACAAGGAGGATGGACTAGATGAACTCTATTTTCTCCATTCTTACTCCTTTGATACAATTTCTTGCTACATGATTTAGCTACTGAATTCAGTGTGTGAGGGAGAAAAAGAACACCAGTTCTAAATTCCGGTCCTTGCATGGTGCTTATGTATGTCCCAGATATTCGGAGTTAGCCACAAGTTCAAATATATTGTTGTACTGACTGCAAAAATTGATGAGCACTTGTTGGGTCATTGCTCTGGACTCAAGGGGTCTCAGACTATGGACTGGGGCAGGTCTGGGAGGTCAGGTGTGGGGGCACAGGCACTGCTGAAGGCCTGGGGAAGTAGATCTCAGTGGGGCAAGGACAGGAGGATCTCAGGACAGGTGGGACATAGGGAGCTCAGAGCAACACCACTGCCAAGACAGAAACGTTGAGAGACTCAGAGATGATATGCTCTCAGAACTCAGGACAAGTTCTACAGATTACCTCCTCTGGCCCAAAAGAGGGGAAGAGTGCTGCCAGTAAGAGTGCTGGCTGACTGGAGGTTCCTCATCTGTAAGGCAGGTCTCTAAGAACTACCTAATACAGAGCATGGTACCACGCACTGCGATACACCCTCTGTATAAGCTATTTCATTTATGCCCCAAGCTACTTCATGACCTAGCCACCATGGTTTACATCTATTAACATAAGGAAGAAACTTATGTTAAGATAAGGAAACAGCATCTTAGGTTAAAGTAACTTGCTGAAAATCACATAGCTCCTAAATGAAGGAGCCAAGATCTGAATCCAGATGGAAACCTAGCTCCTAACACCACCCTACACATGGTCTTCCTGGGAGAATGGATCGACAGGCCTGGTGAGGGGTTGGCACTTAGAAAAGTGTGAGTTTCCCTTCCCTCGCTCACTGTGTGAGGAGGTGGTAATATTACATGGGGGCTGGGGTCCCTCCTTGATTTTCCCCCGGGCCATCCCAGTGCCCGACGGTGACGACCCCAATTTCCCTGCCCGACCTGCTGTCGTAGGAATTGCTGCAGAAGACAGTGAGAGCTGCTGTGTGCTCTGTTCCTCGAGGTCCGTCATTTCTTCCTGGGTGAAGGCCATCTCCTCCATCCTCAGGTACACGACCTCGCCGGGGCTTCTCAGCCCATCTGAGCGGCTGCCTGGGGAGGATAGCAAGTGTATGCCCATCTGCTCTGGAGAAGACCTGCGGCTCCAACTGCTACAGGATGGCAGCTCTGGGCAGGGTTGAAGGAGGAAGGTGGGGCTGCCCTCACCCCGCGGCAGCCCAGCCCATCCACCCAACGGACTTACACGGCAGGCTGTTTCTGTTGCTCAGGAGGGTGATGGCAGGGTCATCCTTGGGGGTCTGGGGTGTACCCCGGGTCGTAGGGGCTTTGGTGGAGTCTCCGTCAGCAAAGGCCTCCATGTCGGGGGACTGGGGTGAGCTGTCCATGTGGCAGGCAGTGAGCGCATTCTGGTACTGCTGCCGAGTGATCTAGAAAGAAGAGGCAGAGAGGGGAGGAAGCTCAAGAGGGGCTGGGCAGAGCCCTCCTTGGATGTGGTCAGCCTCTCCGAGCTCAGAAGCAGCCCTACTAGGGTGCGTTGGAACCCCTGACCTCTGCGGGTGAGGATCCATGAACCGGGTCCTTTCCCAAGCTGTACCAGCCTAGCAGTTGAGGGACAATGAGTCCCCACTGTCATTTTTATTGGCTCTGGACTTCCATGGTGCCCCTGGAGGAGCCAAGCCTTCTCCTGAGCCTCGGAGGAGGTTGGAGGGCACCTTCAGGTAGCAGAGTACTTGCCCATAGAGAAGTTTTAAATACATGCTTCCACTATTGCCAAGGGACCTCTTCCTAAGGGTCCACAGGGAGTGTAGTGAGGGAAGCTTTGCTGCTCCACGTCCTGCTCTCAGGAAGCTGGATGCTGAGGCCTGGGAGCGCACAGTCATTTCTCATTTGGACTTGGCCCGCCACCGGATGTGGGATCATGCTCCTATGTGGGAAAAGTCCACAGCAGAGGTCTCCGGGCTCCTTCATCAGATCATGGGAGTCTTCCTAGCGACTTTCCTGATGTGTCAAGCCTCACCCACAAGTAAAAGCATCTGGAGAATCAGGCTTAGCCAGACCAGAAGGGAATTCCTGTAATTCCAGGAAGGAAACATGTCTTTTCTGGAATACAGAAAGGTTTATCTGTCATCTCTGTTCTCTGGGTGTATGTTGCAGACTCATGCCTCACATCCTTGTGTCCAGTAAAAACTAGCTAGTTTTTGTGCCACCCAGGATAGAAATGTGCTACCATGAATCCATGAATGGCACGGGGTGAAAAGTGACAATGGCACATAGTGCCACACCATGTCTTCTCAAGCACTATGGTCACCTCAAATGTTTTCCTCCCTTCTTCACTGCATTTAGCTAGAGAACAGGCAAAACCACACACTGTTCATGTTCTTTCCCTTTCCTTTCGGGGCAGGATTGGTATTACATGTTGGAACAGTAAGGCTGCGTGGCTGGTAATAGGAGAGGGAATGGTTAAGATTTCCACGTTGGAATGGAGGCAGCTTGAAGCTGGTTTGGTATCTGGCAAGGGCTCTTTTAACAGTGGCCCCTTGTCAACTGCCCACTCTCCAGCACCTGCCCTCTAGACCCTCCCTTCCCCGGTGGCTTGGATGCCTGGCCTCCCTGGGGGCTGTGGGTGATGCTCAAACTGAAGTCCTGGAGTCAATCCTAGACAGCTCAGTACTCACATTCTCAGGGGGGTGACTCTCCATCACTTCTGGCTCATCCCACTTCTGCTTTCCTCATACACCTATGTTTCTCCTTTCCTTTCTGTACAGGCTGTTGCTCTGGTCATTTTTATTGAGTATTTTATTCTGCTTTATTATCCTCTGATGTTCTTTCTACATTTTCTAGATCCTATGGTCCGCTAATTACCCAAAATGTTTAAAAATTTAGCACTCATCCTGAATGTTAGGTTGTAATCTTCACCAAAATATCTAGCCTCGACAACCATTCAGGCAATGTTTTCTCATCATAAAGAGAAATCTTCTATTTCCCCTCAAGTTGGGAACTCATTACTTTGTTGGACATTATCAATCTTTTCTTCTCTAACAAACTTCAGGATGTCTTGCATGAGGATCGAGCAAATTCCAAGCACAACTAATCTAATCACAAAACACCAGTTAAGAATGTATGTCTTTTTGCATTTTGTATGGGAGACCCACATGCAGAGATCCCAAGCTTCTAGCTATACTACTGCCCATTAGAGGGGACAAAGTTCTCTTGATAGTTTAAAACCGTTATTCTCAAATTTCAGCATCGGAATTACCCAGAGGCCTCGTTAAAAACAAGATTGCTGGGCCCCATTCTCAGAGTTTCTAATTTGCTAGGTCTGGAGTAGGGCCTGAGAGTTTGCAGGTCTAACGAGTCCTCGGGTGATGCTGATGCAGCTGGTTTGGAGACTGCACTCTGAGCACCACTGACTTAAGACCTAGTTAAAATCAAACACAGTCCTCCTACTCAGGTTTTGAATCCTTTAAAGGATTCAAATGGATAAAGTGGCGAAGTGTTAACTGGCTTTGATATTTTTCAGGCCCAAATGGCATGTTCTCTGCTTTATGGCATGCAACGATGGGGGTCTCAACTTAGCATTTGTCTAAAGTCTTCAATAGATTCAATGTTACTGTAGACTTTTACAGCCCCCTTTGTTGGGAAGTGAGAAATCAGGTTCCAAAATTTCCCCAAGAGATGTCAACTCTGGAGCCTACCCTCAGACTAAAACCTTACCTTGAGTCAATCACAGAACATCAGGCGTGTATTAGAGATTTCACCATCAATTGACTCTGATGCTGCCCATACTGATGGTTCAGGGACTTGCAGTGTTTCAGAGAAAGGATCAAAGTGACACGCTAATTATTCATGCCTCCCGGGACAGTGGTTCTCAACCTTGGCAGCACATTTGAATCACTTGGGAAGCTTTAAGATATCCTGATACCCAGGCAACACCCTTAAGCAATTATATCCAAATCTCTGAGAGTGGGGCACAGACATCTGGATTATTTAAAGCTCCCCAGGTGATCCCAATGCACACCATGGGTGAGTCCAATGCTCTGGACTCTTGGAAATGCCCCTGTAACCAATTATTATCTACACTCCCCTTAATAGTTGCCTTCACTGATGTTTGATTTTCATAGTGGACCCCCAGCTTGCATACAGGGCTGAACTAAAAAAAAAGCTCCATAGGAAGAACATAAACTGGCAAAACTTGCAGATGAGGCCAATATGTACTATTTTTTTCTGATGTCTTCCATAGTCCTATAGTAATCCATTTGATAAATACTTCAAGAAATTACTGCCAGGAAAAAGTTCCTTTCTCTAGAAAAATGATATACTTGATGAAAACACAAATGTCCACTATGTTTGCCCTCTTTGCTTTTAGGACCAGGAAGCTCACAGATAAATTTATTATTTACTTACAATAACAAACTCATGCCTTATTGCTTTTTCACCGAATTGGTTTGCAATTTCTTTTTAATTTCTTATTTAAAATATTATATATCATTTTTGGAATCATATATATTACTGGAAGTGTTATCAATTTCATAAAAGAGATGGAACTGATATTAGGTTTTAGGATGTGGGTGGGAGGTCTAGTGCTAGTGTTACTAACCCATAAGAGCTTGCTCTTGCAGGTAGAGGTTGGGATAGGAGGGTGGAACCTTCCATCCATAGGGTATATTATGGCTTACAGAGCACTTGGGTATGTGTTACCCCTTTGCTCTTCATAATGACTGTGTTGGGTAGGCATGAGGGCTCTTTTGATCCCCATTTTACAAATAAGAAAATGAGGTCCAGAAATGTTGAGGGATTGCCTCAAGTTTGACAGTTAGCAAGCTTTCAGAGTCCTAGCCAGGGCACTGTCTCCACTGTACAGGTTTTGCCTGGGAAAGTGCTATTCACTCATGGGAGCCAGGGAGGTGGCAGGGGAAGTGAGACTATGAAGCTCCAAGTTTTCAGAGGGAGAAACTCCAGTGGTGCCCCTAACAATGGTGCCCCTGTAACCTGGATATTGGTAGTTTAAAGGCCTTTAGTCTTGCTCTTCAGGGACAACGATCTCAGCCTGGGCTCTGCACTGTGAGTGGGTGTGCCTGGCTGCACTAGGCTGTCTTTTACAATCCTTTAGAGGAGGTGTCCCAATAACTGCTTTGTAGCTTGGGGTCTATAGGCATCTGATGACCGAAAGCCAGCTGGCACACAACTGGAACCAGTGTCACCATCAAACCCAATTCTCTAATGTGTCCATGGGCTTCCCAAAGGTGGAGCTTTCTTTAGAGTCTTACACGTTCTTCTGGCTTAAAGGACAGAAACATTTCCTAAACGACTCTTGATAAGCTCACCAGAGTACTTGATATTACTCTTTTCGGGTTAACTAGTTTAGATTTGGCTTCTAGTTTAGTCCCAGTGTTGCCACTTTCAAGCTGGCCTGTAACAGAGGCCCAGTGATAATGAGATAACGCCACTGAACCTGCCATCCAACTGTTAGAAATGACTGTTTAAAATACGTCCACATCGATCTCTCACAAGTTAACTCTATAATGGGCATACATTTCGAAGAAAGGCATCAAATCTATCATCATCTCATTTCATCTAAACTGTGCATGGCACATCATGAGGTGGGGAAGGGGCAGGAGCAATGGTCCCTCTGCCCCTGGAGTAGGAGTGAGTGGAGGTGTTGTCAAGGCAGGATGAGGTCTTAGGGAAGTAAATCCGTAACTAAGAAAATAAAGTGAAAGACAAAGTAGGGGAAGGAAGGAGATTCCAAGTAGGGACAATGACAAAAGGAAGATGGAGAGGCAGAGATGATGAGTGAAGGGAAGACGGGAGGAAGGGAGAAGGAAGGGGGTGTGTTCTTGTTTGACTGTGAGATGGATTTATGGGCTCAGTTGGGACATTAGCTGTTCTGCCCAAGCTAGAAGCCTCTCAGGAGTGTTGCAAAGTACTGTATTTAGTTTATTTCTGGACAGGTTCTGTCCAGGCCACATGCACAGTGAGCTGTACCATTCTCTCTTTGTTCTTAAGAAAAAGTGATATGTCCCTTCAGGAACCTGGGAGCAAGGATCCGGGAACTCTAACCCTCTTTAAGCATTGTTCTGGAGCAAAAGAACGAGCTGGGAATAAAACATTACATCTGGTAACAATCCTGAGTAAATGTACTCCTTCCTTATAAGGTACTGAGTTCCGTGTCATGGAGGCATTCACACAGATGTTAAATAACCACTTGTCAATGATGTTAGAGGGAAGATTCAGACAGCTATGGCCAGGACCTAACATTAGAGGGAAGACACATGGTTCTGCGTAGGGGGAGCAGGGTGGTTGCCCAGTACAGGGGTAGGGGCAGAGGTTGGGGGCGGGCCTATACTGTTGGTGGATGGTTGTATAGAAGGAAAGGTACTACCCACTAGTTACCTTCTCCCTAAGTCTCACAGCCTTGTTTTCACAATGCTTCCTCTTTTTAAATATATATATTAAAAAAACCCATAATCATAAACTACTGACATGTCAATCTGTCGCCTTGAAAGAAATTGTTGATAAGGCACCACTCTAGAAAATGTGTTCAGGAAACAACCTCTCACCAGCTGCATTTTCTAGATTCAAGCATTACTGTTTTTTTTTAATTCAGTTCTTTTATTGTTACTATTTTTTCACATTTTTGATTCAAGCATCACTTTTCATCACCTTGCTTCTCTTGTTCAACCATGTGAGAATTTCTTACTATCTAAAACAGTACTGTCCAATAGAAATATAATGAGTTGCATAAGTAATTGAAAACTCTCTTGTCACATTAAAAATAAGTAAAAACAAATAGAGGGAATTAATTTTAATAGTGTTTCGTTTAAGCCAACATATCCAAAACAATTTCACTTCAACACAGAATCAATATAAAAGTATTAATGAGGAATTTTGCATTCTGTGTTTGTACTAAGTCCTTGGAATCCAACGTGTACTTTGCATGCACGGCACATTGATTTGGATGAACCACAGTGTGTTTGGCAGCCCCATGTGGCTACTGGCTACTATGTTGGGCAGCAGAGGTCTAGCAGATCAACCTGAATCTCTCTGCCCAGTTCTGATAATCCGGCCTTGTGCCCAATGGTGCTCCCACTGCTCGCACACGCAGAACCACTGGGCCAGCCCAGCTTCTCTCTTCACACTCCCTTGAATGCACTGTGCTTACTCATCTTCCATACGCCTGTTTATTGGTATCCCTCCTCCTGTACTTTCCTAATTCTTAAAGGTCTGGTCCATTCGCAGCAATACAGTGCTTAAAATAAGTGTCACACAAACTCTTAATCAATTAGATACTACCCTGCTTTGGTCACTATTGCTTAACCTACATTTCTTCTCTCTTACTAGATTTTAAACTCATTAGGCAGAGGATATGTTTTACATTTCTTAGTATAGCCACTGGTGTCTAGATCCCTCGTTAATGCTCAACCTACTGCTTGGCTCATTGAGGAAGTCAAACCACTGCTCAAAAGCCAACATGTTTTTATTCTCTCTTTATTGCTGTAGATACAGGCATTTCTTAGTGCAGCTTGAGTTCAAATTGTCTTCTCTTACACAGCAGCCAGTTAGGAACTCAAGCATCCTCTAAATTACAAAGGAATGGAGACCTGTTTACCTTGAAACTAACCGAAGTAACTGTACACTTTTGGACATTTTGAGTTGGCAGCCAACGTGTCCAGAAGTTAACCTTCAACCAGTGTGATGACTCCTATCATTTAATGAAGTTCATCTCTCACAACACCATCTTGCAATTTAGGGATTCTGCCACCAGATGGTGATGGGGCATTTTGGTCACGGTTACACAATCTAGACTATAAGACATCGGCCAAATAGTCTTAGTTTAATGATGATATTTACCAAAAGCATTGTTAAAAAATTTATAAGGATTCTTTGGTACCTTCATTCATAATTTACTAACTATGACTAATCGTGGCTTTAATATCTCTCCCAGATAATCGTTAGACACAACTTTCTAATTTTGAAGCTTATCTTAAAGTCAAATTACTTCCGGACTTAATAACGTTCTGGAACTTTTGTTGGACATGAAAACCCCTTGCAAGCTCTCCATGCAGCCAATCACAGGAGCCTGGGCCGTGAGGACACCTCTCTTCAACAGTCTTTAGCTTCCTCAAAAGCTCCCCCTCTGTTAAAAAGGTAGGGGGGCAGGTGGGTGAGGGGAATAAAAGGGCAGCCCTAAGCAAGCCTATTACATCAGCAGAAGGGAATTTTCAACTTTAGTCTAAGGCATCAACTTAACTTATATATACATACATATATATATATATATATATATACATATATATACATATATATAAATAAACAAACAAACAAGTGCACGTTCAAACAAGAGCTTGAACTCCCAAAGTTCCCTTCTATAGAATTGTTACAATTGAAGTTTTTAAGAGACTGGGGCAAGGATTTGAAGGAGGTTTCTGAATAATACTTTAATTGGTTTCTAACCTCCCCTCAACTTCTACTTTTGACATTTAGTCTTCTCAATGTCAACATGTCGAGGTGGGAAAAGGGACCATGTTCTGTGCCACTTAGCCGCCCTGGGTCACAGCAAAGTCCTCTGGCCTGACCAAAAGGATGACACCTGCACCTGAGAACTGACCTCGGGTTTGGGGTTCTCAACATCAGGAAAGACACTTCCCTTTTATGTTCCTCATTAGCTGTAGAATGTCCCCTTTCCTTATGTTCTAGGCATGGATATCCATGAGCTCATCTGTAAGTTTCAAAAAAAATCCTTACAAACTCCATGCCAGGTATTCATCTTAACACATTCCTCTTTGTGGAGCTGTCCAATACATCCCCTGAAAGTGCTCCCCAATCCAGGCACACCTAGACATGTTCCAGAAAACTCTGGGCTCACCAGTTGATCATTAAATAGGATGCCTCAAATTCTCATTCATTCTCCTCCCCAAACCAGCAAGCAAAATCTTCATATTGATTTCCTAAACTTAGGATGTAAATAACATTAGGGACTGAAAGTCTATGTCGCTCCCCGCCCCAAATTCCTATGCTGAAATCTTAACCCCCAGCGAGATGACATGTGGAGGGGGCGCCTTTGGAAGAAGTTAGGTCCTGAGGGTGGAGTGATTGCGAATGGACTTAGTGTCCTAATAGGAAGACAGCTTGCCTCCTGTCTCTGTCTCTTCCCCCATGTAAGGATACAAGGAGAAGATGGTTATCTGCAAACCAGAATGTGGGCTCTCACCAGACACTGGATCTGCTGGTTCCTTGAACTTGGACTTCCAGCCTCCAGGACTGTGGGAAAGAAGTGTTTGTTGTTTAAGCCACCCAGTCTATGACTATTTGTTATGGCAGCCTGAACTAAGACAAATGTGAAGACCTAAGAAACAAACTTAATTGAAAATTCCCAGTGCACTTATAGTAGAATTAAGTGCCTTCCTCTGGCTTAAGGATGCCAGACAACATTGCTGCTGACCGTCCACTGTCATTTCATGCTGGCCTCTGTCTTTGCACGCTGCGTACCAGCACTCAGATCCATGAACCACTGAGCTCTTTCCTGCCTCTGTGGTTTCTCTCTTGAACATTCTCCTCCCCTCCCCTTTCAGGTCCCAGAAAAAATGTCGTTTTGTCAGTCTGCTCTGATAACCATTCCTAAAGGAAACCCCTTGCCAGCTCTGCCCAATCACTGTTTATCCCACTACCTTGTTTGTTACCTTCCTAGCCTTTATCACTACCTGAAATTAGGTTCTTCATGATGCGGTTACTTGTTTATTCTCTCTGTCCCCCTCCTAGCACAGAAACTCTAGGAAGGCAGGAGCTTATGGTCTTGTTCACCATAGTATCTTGTCAATATCAAGCACAGAGTAGGTATTCAGTCAATATTTGTTGAACCGCTTACTCATATTGTGACTTTCAAGTTCTTTTTCCACAAACCGTGTGATCAGTACTACAAACTAGGAAGAGCTAGCCCAGTAGAGTTTCTCTGTTCTCATTTTTTTCCTACCTCCACTTCTGAGGAAGGCCTGCAATGAGAGGGCTTCAGGACAAGGAGGCAGGGAGGAGAATCATGGACTTCAGTTTTCTGACGTTTAACTTTAGTGTCACATTAGATTTGTTAAGTGTCCCCAGTCACACACACCCATGAGTATTGCTGGGTTAGTTGCCACAAGTTATTTCTTCCTGGGGTTTCTTCAACTCTGATTTCCCACAACTCTTCCTAAAGACTGGGGTTTTGAGGGTTTGGACTCTGGAGACAGAGAGACTGAATTCCAAAGCTTGGCTCTGCGACTCACCAGCCATATGACCTTAGACCCCTCAAGCTCCAATGTCTTCATGTCTAAAATGGTTATGACAGTAGTACCTACCTGACAGGGTGGTGATCAGACAACCTGGATCATTCAGACAAAGGAGTCCCAAAGCGCAGGCACAGAGCACCCCACAAACAGTTATTATCCCACCCCACCTTCCAGGCTCAGCCCCTCCCTTTGGTAACTTTCTATCTTTATGTTTCTATCTTCACCTCAGGGTATCTGCAGAGTTCTGGAACACAGAAAGCCAGGCATTGCACACTGCTCTCAAATTATCAGAGCTTGTGTTCTGGACAGAAGGAGAGAAACTCCTCCCTCCTTTGTGATAAATATATCTCTCATAATCCAGCCTGCGACTGGACAAGATATACCAACTCAATTCATTGGGTGTTTTGTTGGACTTGGATAAATGGGGCTCACTCCAGGCATGTAACAGTTTGCAGAATGCTAGCAAATAAAACCTATCAAAGCACGAGAAGGAGGACATTTTAGAAGGTTTCTGTGCAATACCAATCTTAATGTGAGGTATGAAGCAATGGCCCCCCTACCCTTTAACTACAAGGCAATGAGCACTGTGGCCTCTCTCTCCTGCATGTGCAAAGTGATGGATGTTCCGAGCTCCACTGAGCTCAGTGATTGCTAAGGGTGTAATGGTTACACAAAGGGTTTTTGCTTAACATACCTGCCAAATTGCATTTTAGACTTGAAACAGAAAGACATAAAAATATACTATCTTATGGAAAATCACAGCATGGTTTCTTCCATATACTTGGTTTATTAATCACCTGCAAATTTATCTCGGAAAAAACAAATCAACCTGGTGGCAATGGCAGGGGGTTCAAAAGAAACAGTTCACTAGCAACTTGTCTCAGGCAACCTAATTCCGCACTGGTTTATGCCTCAGTTTCCCCACACAAAAAATGGGGATCAGGAGATCTTAAAAGAGTGACAAATTAGTAATCAAGCTAACCAAAAACAGGGCCCTTGTAAAGCCAGGGAACAATTAGCACCCAGCGTTATCTTGGCGCATTGGATTGCACATCCTGTCCTGCTTCCCCAGCCGGCTGGCAAGCCGGGGATGGCCCTCCCGGGACAGTTACCTTCACAAATTGCACATCGCTGAGGATGTGCACTGAGTAGTCGGGAGTGTAGAGGTTGTTGCTGCTGCTGCACAGCTGGGTGTTGCTCCCCCCAAAGTCACTGCGCTCGCGGTTTGGAGACTCAGAGCGGTTCAACCCGCTGCAGCGAGAAGGGGACCGGTTTACTGCAGACAGTGAGGGAGAGGTGAGGGAGAAAAGGCAAGGAGAGGCGGGTGGGGAGAAAAGACAGGAGAACAGAAAGAGCGATGGGGAGAGGGAGGGGGAGAGAGAGAGAGAGAGAAAGAGAGAGAGAGAGAGAGAGAGGTGTTGTTTACTAAGGGCCCACAGGACTTCTAGGCGGTGGTAGAACCAGGCCCTCACCCTTCCCGTCAGAGCCCAGATGCTCAGTTTGTTACAGGAACTCACGGCTCCACTCTGCGCAGGCTCCTCCTGCTCCCCACAACGTCCACCAGGGAGGGGCTGCGGCAGAGGGGTCCACAGCCTTTCTCAGTTCTGGTCTTTGGGTTAAGTGCTGGAGATGAGGACCAGGCTGTGAGCGTGGTTAGCTACTCCAAAGCATGAGATCCTCTATCAGGATATAAACTCTGTTCACGAACCTTATTTTACAAAGGCGAAGGCCTTGGGTTTGACAGCACATAGAACCAACCCTTGCCATGGTGAGCCATTTTGTCAGGGATAACTCAGGTCTGCCCTAACACTGTCAGGACACTGGACAAACGGAGAGCCACAGACCTATTCAATCACATGGGTACCTATTCAAATCACATGAATAAACTGTTAAAATCTGTTCTATCCTTGTCCTTGACAACTATACCTTCATAATATAACGTAACGTAACGTAACGTAACGTAACGTAACGTAACGTAACATAACCTGGAAGGCCAACTCCAACTCCTTAGAGTTTTCTGCTAAAATATAAAACATAAAACAGGGTTGTATGGGGACAAATGGCCCCTACCCTAGGGGCTTCCCAGCCTCCTTATCCGCCCCACCCTGCCCCCACCGGGAGGTTTAGGTGAGGAATTTCAGGATTCTGTATCTGAAATGTGGTCCTGAAGGAAGAACAAGGGCTCTCAGTGGGCACATCTCTTTGGCCCTATGAACTCCTCACCTACACGGAGGGCTGGGACTAAGAGGGACTAAACGGGGGTCCTCTAAAGTGTGTCTAGGGCAGGATTCCATCTAGGCCTAAGTGGGGGTGGGGGAACAGAATACTGGAATAACCCCCAGGACTTCTGTCAAAGGCATCTCAATGTTCAGAGTCAGTTTTGTTTTCTTTTGTTTTGTTTTGTTTTGTTTTGTTTTGTTTTGCTTTTTTGTTTTTTTAACCACTTTCAAGAACCATTCCTAGGGAAAGTTCAATTAAGACCACATCACTTGGTTTCAAAATGGATTGTGTGAACTATCTTCCCCAGATCAATGGAAGAGAGGGTCTTGTGGTGACCCTAGCAGAATCTCAACCGCAGAATAAACCTGAAGGAGAGACTGTCAAGCCCTCTCCACCCCTCTGCTTCCCAACAAATGCCACTCTGCATTTCTTCCCAGAAAGGGGAGGGTGTGCCGTCAGCCTCTCCTGACAGATTTAGTTCAGGGGCTCAAATGCAGAGTCCGCTTCCTCAGAGATTCCGCTCCTTGTTCTTCTAGGGCAGGACCTCGGGAATTTAATTCTGTCTCCTGAGATAATGGTGCCATCAATCAAGATAATTGATTAGCATGTATTTGGAGCTGAGTCCTTGAGGGTTGATGGTCTGTTTAGCTGCAAGCTGTTATTGTTGTCTGGCAAACTAGTGCAAAGGGTAAAATAACAATAGGCTGAATCATTTTTTCTCATTAGAGCCATAACAATCGCTGCCTTGATAGGATTATAGAATTGAGGATTTTATTTCCAGCCTCCCCTTCTCAGTAAGTGCCCTTTACATATATTCTGTCACTTATACCAGGAAGCTGGGGGGTGCCCTTGACTCCTGCCACTCCCCAGTCCCACACCAGGCCCTCTCACCTCTACTTCTGACATAATAAGCCCTTGGGCATCTATGCCTGTCCCCACTCAAGTCCCAGTTACCTGGACCACAGTCCCATCTCCCCGCTTATAAGCTTATGATCACCTCAGCTGCCAGAAGCACATTAAATAAGCTTTCTTTTATTTAGTCTGAATAAAATCTAAATTCCTTGCTTCATCCCTAATGTCCCCCATGACCTGACTCCCGATTTCCTGTCTGGTCTCATCTTGGGAACTCTCTTCCCCTCCCCTGCTTGCTCTGCTCCTCTCAACCATGCAGGTGCCACCTCAGAGGATGGCATTTCCCTCGCCACCTCAGAGGATGGCATTTCTACTGCCCACCCTGCCCCTTTCACCCCCACCCCCACTGCTTGGCTCTCAGTCATTAGGTCTCAGCTGAAAGCCAACTTCTCTGAAGACTTTGGCTGAACTGAGGTTTCCCGTTTTCTTCTATCACTGTCCCTTGTTCATTCCTTCAAAGTACTTTTCACACATTTTAATTCATCATGTGTTTGTACTTGTTACGTCTACTCAGTTCAGTGCTAAATTCCATGAAGGCAAAGACCTGGTCTTTTCTGGTCATTGTTGTACACCCAGGACCTAGCACTGTGCCTGGCCTAGAGTAGGTGCTCAATAAAAATGTACAGAATAAATGAATCAGCACCTAAGGGTCCACTGAAGAGGTTTTACTTAGAATCTAAATTTTGTTTAAAAAAAGATTTCAGAGCTCTCAAATCATCCTGGATTAGAAAGCCTTTCCTTTGCAACTTAAAGCCATTCTGGGGAAGTTGACTTCTCCAAGAAGCTAGGGGTGGATAGAAGGACACTCTAAAACTGTAGCTGGACAGAGTCAGAGAGTGGGCAGTGAGAATCCAGGGTACCAAGAGGCCTCAGGCTTTGGCCCAGTAACTCGGGGAAGAGGCCACAGGGAAAATGAGGACTTTGTCTGTTTAATAAAAGCATGTGAAACCAGGAATCCTGGACTCAGGTCTCTAGGGCCCTACCTATCCACTGGCTGATGGCAGGCCAGACGCCCCTCCACAGTGACCAAGGACTGAGAAGGACAGTGGTGGTGCCACAAAGAACAGAGCAAAGCACCCAGGTGATTGGGCAGAAAAATATGCATTTCATTTCTCATTCTGGCCCCTTGAAAACAAGCTGATGGGTTCTGGTGTGGCCAGACCCTCTGTGGCTTTTCTGGGGTGGTGGCTGCTAAGTAAGTCGATGGTGTTTCCTCAGGGGAGCTGCTGTGGAAAAGCAGGTCCAGCAGTCCTGCAGGAGGGGGACTTCTTTGTCGTGTGCGTGGAGTGTGGAAAACCCTACCCTGACCTGGTGGTCAAGTACCCTACCCTACCTTACCTCAAGTCCATTTGGAACAAGGGGACAGAGTGTGAGCAGGGCTGTGGATGCAGCCTCCCTGAGAAATAACCATCTCTCCCCGATAACCATCCACTTTGCCTGGTGGGACACAGGCTTGACATACCCCACATTTGCTGTTCCACAGCCTCATCCCTTATGTCACAATCCCAGGCACATTCCAGAAGGATGGCAGAGAAACACAGGCCCATCTATGTACTAGACCACTTCCATCCATAGAAGGCTCTGCCTGAACCACATTCACACTGTTGGGACACAGGGGCCACCACTATATCCCCGTTCCCCCCAGGGTTCTTGTCCTCACTGCCACTCTGCTGTCACTCACAGGGACCACATGTCACATGCAAGCAAGATCACAGTTGGGCTAGGAGGAGAAACATGTTTTGTTTTGTTTTTTAAAGTCAGAACAATGCTATTGAAGGTTTATTCAAAATCCCAAAGGATTCCCAACACCAAAAGATACAACTGTCTTACAAAGGTCAGGCCTATAAAAGCAATTTTTAAAAGGAAAAGAGCCCTCATTTCATGACAAAGAAAGTCCCAGCTCATCTGAGTGCTGTGCAAGATCAATGTTTTCGTGTCCCAGAGCCTGACATTCCTCAATAGGTAGGATGCTGATGACTCGGCATCTTGGTAATTGTGCACATACACTCAGAGGTTTCTGAGCAAGGGAAATGGAAATGCTTTTAATAAAAAAAAAGAGAAGAAATCAGTAACAGACGAGTGCCCCAGCAGCATGGCAAACTAGTTCAAGTTGTATAATTCCCCTTGGCATTTCCTAAGAGCAGGGGCCCAGTTGGGGGAGTAAAGAGGAAAATCCTAACTACAGTCAGAGAGGTCTAAGAGGGGACTGATCAAACAGTGATCATAAAACTGACCACAGAATCCCTCAACAGGAGGGAACAGCCAACATATCCCTTGTTCACTGTTGCTATTATATTACACCCTCGAGCTGGCCCTGGAGAGACTGGGTGGTGGGGAGCAGGGTTTTCTGCTCTAGACTCCTAAGTGCTGGGGAGAAGTGTGATAGACCTCATTCCTACAGCCTTTTCATGGTAAGTCTACAAGGGATATCTGTCCTAGATAGTAAGCTAGAGTTATTGAGGTTGGGTGGAGAATGCCCTGGGGTAAAATTGGGTGTGGGGTTGGAGAGGGGGCACAAGAGGACTTTACACTGTAACTGGGGCTGGATGGAATCTCCTCTGCACCGATAGATGGGGCCCCATGACTCTATACACAGCTCTGGGACACTTGCCTCACTCATGACACCTGTACCTGGAGCAGAGCCCATGATACAGAAGAATACCCCACTTCCCTTTTCAGTCTGGGGATCCAAGGGGAAAGTAGGCTTCAGTGGCTTCCTGCTTCTATCTTTTGGAGCATCAGTGAGGGGCAAGGGGGAACAGCCCTCTTTGGTCATGGTCACTGTGCCATGGGCCATCTGTGTTCCCCAAACTGGATGGGGAGCTTAATTACATAGACCTAGAATAGTACAAACTAGGAATATTAAAATTCATCATTCTGGGGTAATATTCAACATCAGACAACCAAATGCCAAAAGCTCTCTGTCAGAGCTATAATGTGAACTCTGCAAATCAGCCCGAGTTAGGAGCCCAGATGAACTCGCTCACATTACATGGAGCTTTAATGGTTCCCAAATGTTTACTACACAAAAGCCAAACCAAAGGAATATTTCCACTTACCACATTTCACAAAGTAAAAGGATTATTTTTAGAGACTCCCTATATATTCTGGGAGGAAACTGTCCCCATCTATCTCAAAGCACATTTCAGATGGTCAGTTGAACACTGAAAACGACTCCTTGCTTCTGACCTCTCTCCTGCCTCTGTGCTTTTGTGGATTTGGAAGGACTGTCATGGGGAACTCAAAATCATCTCCCCTGAGGAAAGAAAAAATGGATGACTCTGGGGAGAGGGAATGGTAACTGCAATGGAGCCGTGTACTCTCAGTGGGTTGATCAGAAGTTTACTTTTTAAATGAAAGCACCTGCAAAGCTGGCTAACTACATGACGCACTGCAAGCAATGCACAAAACCACTCCACTCTCCTTATTTCAAACCTAAAGTTCAAATAGAAAGAAACTGCTATGGACAATGGTGGCAATATTTGGCACAGGGACTGGTAGCCTCCATCCACTGTGAGCACCATAATTCATTAGCACAACTGCTTTCAAAATGCTAATAAGTCACAGCCCTCTAGGGGGCACAAAATGCTCATGTTCAGAGGGGCAGCCAGGTCCAGACAATAGGAGAGCGGGACCTAGAAGACTTGGATTCCATACATCACCGGGTGCTCATCAAGACAAGTGCATTCCTTGATCCCCATCACCTATTTCCCTCTTTCCTTCACCCCTTCCCCTCTGTTAACCATCAGCTGAACTGTTCTCTATAGTTAAGAGTTTGTTTCTTGATTTGTCTCTTTTCCCTTTGCTCATTTGTTGTTTCTTAAATGCCACATGTCACCATATCGTACACCTGAAACTAATATAGCACTGTACATTAACTACACTGGGATTTAAAATAAAGAATTTTGCAATACATACCCGTATATATCACATACATCTTAAACTTACACAATGTTGTATGTCAATTATGTCTCAATAAAACTGGAAACTTTTTTCTTTTTTTGAGTATAGCTGACACACGGTTATACTGGTTTCAGGTGAACAATTCAGTTTATATCTGATGACAAGTTTATATCTGATGCTGTGTTCACAAGGGTAGCCACCATCTGTCTCATTACATCGCTATCACACTATCACTGACTGCATGTGAGTATGCTCTGCCTTTGATTCCTGTGACTTATTCTTTCCAATTGGAAACTTTGGTTAAGAATAAAAAACAATTGGAAAAATTTGAAAAAAATAAACGTAAAATTAAAAAATAGAGAGAGATTTGGATTCCAGTCCTCACCCTTCCACCTCGTCACCACACCTGTGATACTGATCGATGGCTTTAAGTTTTCGGAGCCTGTTTCCTTATCTATTGTTTTCCAACAATAATTCCTTCGCATCTCCTAAGGTGGTTGTGGGGAGCAAATAAAATGATAGAGTTCTTTTTAAACTTAAAGGCCCTATTGATTTCCACGATTTCTCATCTCCTCTGTGTACGATGGGAGTAAGACATAATATATGTAAATAACTGTATCTGGATCATAAATCAAGTATGGGGCCAGGCAAAAGGGGACTGGATGAAAGGAGGTGAGGAGGAAAGAATCAAAGGAGAAGCAAGGCACCCATGACTTTTCTTTCCTCTTCCTGCACTGTCACTGCTCCACTCTGCAGAGGTAAACCGAAGGTTGGAAGAAGCTGGCCATGCTGTGTGGCCTATCAGTTTCCTTTGGGTTGAACAGCCAGTCATGGAAAATGAGGGGGGGGGGTGGTTAAAAGAGCTCTCAGGGGCAGATGGCGCCAACCAGGGTTGCATTAGAAGTAGCGACAGCTCCTGAGGGGGTGTGTGTCACACAGCAGGAACGAATCACCCTCATCTTGGTCTGACAACTGGGTTACCATCAAGTTTTTCATAATAAATATCAATGAACTAGAGTGAACCTTCCTTTAACCGGAAAGTTAAAATGAACTGGCTTGTCTGGTTAACTGAGGGTTATTTAAAAGGAGACTACAACCTTGCTTTGATCCTATTTGGTTGAAAAATGTGCATCTTCCGTTTCGGCTGAAACTTCCTAACACACTCTTTATTTGCTGAGACTCCCTGAGTGTGAAGGATCTTGAAGGTCCATGATGTGGTCATTTCTAATTGCGCCGGCAGGCAGAAGCAGACCAGTTAGCTGGTGAAGGCACCAGCCTGGCATCCCACATTGACTGAGCTGGCCTATGGTCATCATGAAGGCATGAGCTCTCACAAAGTGAGAAAAATTTTATTTCTTGGTGGAAGATCACCATTAAGTGAGAGAGGAAACCTTGGTGAAATCTGAGAAGGTGACTGACTTGTCTTGTACAGATAAACATGGGAACCAGATGATTTTTGATGGGGAAAATGTGATTTGGGAGAAAGCAGGAGTCAACATAAATATTTCTGAAATTGCAAACTTGGGGGCTTGGGGTGTCAGGGCATAGCCTTTTTGAAAGTTGAGGGTCTACTGTACAGATAGCAAAACACAACTGGATTCTTGATGACTGAGGTTATGGTAGGGCCTCAGAATCATACTGTAGCATTGGGATAAGGGAGACAGATGTGGAGGATAGAGGGAGCTGGACTGTGTTTTCACATTCTAACTTTTAACAAGTAAATTCTTGGTTGCGTCATTACTTACTCCATGAGCCTAAGAGAGCAACCTCTAGAGATGAAAACAATACAAACACTTAATTGCTTATTTAGATGTATTACATTCTACTCAGTCCTTGAGTTACTATATAGTTCCGTGAGGAGCTGCTTGACCCAGTTAAAAAGAAAGCCAGCATCTTTTATTTCATTAACAGAGGTTAAACCTAATGAAAACTTGTTTTGAAAGTTTTACACATATTCTTTGTATGAGTAAGGCCAGAGAGAATATGGTCACTCCTGGGTAACATTATGAGGAGGAGGAGGAGGAGGATGGGTTAGCTAAAGGCAGAGACCACATAGAACAAAAGGTGGAGGAAAAACAGGTAGTAATAAAGAACAGTATTCCGTTGTCTCCATTTCTCTCCTGCTGCACTCCTCATCTTCCATTTTGCAGTCAGACAAATGACAAGAAAGCTCACACCATCTCTCAGCCCATGATTTCTCCCTGTACACACACAAAGACATCCCGGGGGGCTGAACCCAAGTGTCACCATTGAACCAGCAATCCCTGGGCTGTATGTGCAAATGAGTGTTACCTGTGTGGCGTGCTATGCCTTAGTCATGGCCGTGCCTGCTGGGAGAGACTAGTTCTCTCACAGGATGGTGACCGAGACCAAAGGCCTCCTGCGAACCCTACAGGATCTAAGGACACCCGAAACACCCATGCATGTTTACCTGGGGAGCCCGCCAGAGAGTCCCCTCTGCTGAAGGCGAAGGTACGAGACACAGAGACAGGCACTAAAGAGTCAAGGGCCAAGGATTTGTGAGATGCAAAAGGGAAGATAAACATAAAAGAAAGACAAAGAGCAAAGTGTGTAAGTCATGCTGTTCTTGAATCTTCACAACGTTACATTTCTCCGCTTCTGAAAACAGGGAAATTGCATCCTCTCACAAAGTCACTCTCCAGAAGGAGGAACATAAAACAGAATTTGTTGAAAGTCTTCTGAAAAGATGTGCAGTAATCTTAGAGGGAATGAGACCTGTCAAGAACAGGCAGTGTCCTGGCAGGGACTGTGTGTATGCAGCATTCTCTCTGAGCCAGCAAATGCACTGGGAGTCCAGCACCGCATCAGCACCAGGCTCTCCCAACTGCCAGACCTGTGGGAAGGCTAAAAGCAAAGTGCACGCTCCTACAAGGGGCGGCCTTAAGGAAGTGGAATCCTCCTGCCTCAGGCTCCTAGGAGCTCCTCGGTGGTCACAGCACTGGGGAAGAATGGTGCATTGCTATGTCGAGGGGTATTTCTGTCTGGGAATCTGTCTTCCGTGTTCTTACACAATTATTCTGAGAGCCACCTTCCTTGGGGACTAAATGAAATCAGTCTGCAGGTAACAGCACACTGAAACATGCAACTTCTGTAGCCTTATCTGCTGCACCAGATGATTTTACTGAAATTACCCATATACGCAGGGGAGTGGGAGAGCTTTATACCTACCTGATAATCATTTACTCTAACACCAGATGTCGAAGAATATTGGCTCCTAATGTAGTGAGACATATGGAATAAGAAACTCCATAGTCTCAAGAAGCATCCTAGAGCTTCCTGGGCTGCAAATTAAATGTATACTCCACCAAACAGGTGGGAGACAGTCTATCCCTGCCTACCTCACCCTGTGGGCAGCCGTTCCCTCTACCCTGAGCTCAAGCCTGGTTCCTTCAGAGTTCTAGGCTCACTGTGGTCCTCCTGGGTTCTTGGCAATCAGACCCAAGATAGAGGAGACAGTGCTGGCTGTGTTCCCTTTGCCCTACACAGGAAAACCAGGGGGACTTACTCATAACCTCAAGTTCAATTCTGAGGCATAGGTCCCAGGACGAGTGCTCTGACAAATCTGTCATCCCATTTATCTCCTTCAAAGGCTAATAAAGCTACAGGCTGGCTTTGAGGACAGGGGTAATTTGCTAGACCAAGACCCTGTAAGAATGTACTGCCTTAAGCTCTCCTTTGATTTCAGGTTGACGTTCTTGGCCAGTGAAAGATGCCAGGTGGCTGGATCCCTGGGCTGAGGACGCATCTGGGACAACTGTGAGGTGTGGAGGCCCTGGCAGATATTTCACACTGGGGAGGGCTTGGGGGGGGGGTGGACAACAGAAAATTTTTCCATACCCATACTGCTAATTCGATTTCTTTTTCCTTCTGAAGATTTATAAAGATGCTCAGAAGTGAGGTGAGGGAAAGAGTTTAATGCTACTTTTTAGTTAACCAGTTTTGAAGGAGAGGTCAGTGTTGCAAGTTTACTCCTGTCTCACTTATAAAATGGAAGGATTTTGATAGAAAGAACTAGAGACAGGAAGAAAGGGAGGAAGGAAACCAGATAACATCTTTCTACTACTTCTAATATATACATGTGTATACATATACACACACACATATAGTTTTTAAGAAAAGCCATTCAAATTAGGTGGGCTGGGAAGTCTCATGTAGCTCTTTGTTTCCACCTCCTTTGGTCTTCTGAAAGAGCCAGAACAAGGCCAACAGAGGTAAGTAACATTTAGAATCCTAGGAATTACTCCACTTTGAGCAATCCCTAATATGATGGATGGAAATCTTTAAAGAACCAAGATTTACCTGGTCCTCTAGCCCATCCCTCACCCATCCAGAGTTCTTGTTCTAAGATGATGAGCTTCCTTCATCAAACTTGAGATTTGTTGGCTTATATAAGTATATAATCTTACATTTTACAGATCTTCAGCTCATGTTGGGCTATGTCTTAGGTATGGGCAGGTACTTCAACTTCATTTCAGCCTCCTTCTGGGCTAGGTTGTGAATTACACTGTAAAGTGTTCCAATCTTTCCACACAGAAGTTGCATTCTGGAACATGATGGGTCTCAAATGTGTATTTCATTGTGCTATGTGAACTAGTATGGACACTGGAATGTATCTGGGTGTCATCAACTCACTGGGTAATTTGGAGCAATTCTTCAGTATCTCTGTGTTAAAATGGTATCTACCTTTCATATCCCAGGGCCTGTGATATCAAACTTTGGAACCCTCTGATAAATACTGATATAGTGCACTTTGTAAAGTATCTTTTATAATAAGAGAAAACACCCCATTTGGCATTAAAATAGCCACCTTTGTAAACACCAACAGCTGAAAGCAATGCAAAATTCAGACCAGTGAATTAATAGGCAATCTAGACAAATAATTCTTTCTGGATCACACTTACATTCCAATAAATGCCATGCCTTCTAAACGCAAGGGCAATAACTACACACATGAAACAGCAAGAAGGTAGAGCACAGAAGGGGCAGAACAGACCAGCCATCAGCCCTGGGCCAGCCCCCACCATTCACATGCACAGCCAGCTGGCAGCCAGCTCTCTACCAGCTAAGATGTGGTGACAAGGAAAGAGATGTAGATAAGCAACATATTGCACCAGCCTGGGACTTACATCCTAAGATCTTGCAGTCACTTCCTACTGACCCCACAGACACAGCAATGACTTACTAGGGTTTTCAAATAAAGGCCAGTGGGTGAATTATATCACAGCAGAGAAGGAAAGGCTTAACCTCCACCAGAGCACACCAAACACCTGCCTTCATTCCCCAGCATGTGACAACACATGGTGTCCCGCCCTGCCCCCTCCCCCCCCATACTTTGCTCCCCGTCACTCATCACTTGCCCATGAGCAGAGAAGCAGCAGAAAACATTGCAAACGCAGAAACTAAGCACCTGTGGTCTGTGGGTACCTGGCAGGAGGCAGTGTTCTTGGCAGAGCATTACAAAGAGGCTGCCAACATTTGTGTTAGCCCCAGCCCAGGCTCAAAGTGCTCAGTCCAGGTCCCCAGAGTGGGCTGAGGCAGGACTACGATGGGGGCAGATGAGGGAGGGGTCTGAGAGATACATACGAAAGACAGAGGATCCAGCCAGACTTCCAACCTTCCGCACATCGTTATCTAAGGACAGAAGGATGCAGTGTGTTTCAGAGGCAGTTCAGAAAACACACCTTCTTATGGGAATGCCCCCTCTTCCACCCCACCCCCAGCACCAATTAACCCTGCAAAAACCAGGCGATCAGATGGAAGTGTAAAAAGCAAAAGAAACTTGTCTTTTTGGATGGAAAAATATCCACTATCCACTCCTAACACTTGATAATGTTACAGTCTACCATGTACTTCTACAAACAAACTCTCTTAATAAAAAATGACTCATACCCATTTTACAGAGGGGGCAACTAAAGCCTAGGAAGTTAAATGGCTTGTTCAGGGTCCCTAAGAGGAGTCAGGACTTGAACCCAGATGTTCTTTCCTATAATATTCCATTGCTTCCCCAATAACCTGAGACTTGGGAACAGGAATACCTGAGCAGGCAGTGGTCATGATGGCTGGGACACCATAGTAGGTGAAGGCTCCATTCTCGAAGCGAAGGCCTTCCTTACCAACCTCCACTTCTACTTTACCCTGGAGAGAGAAGGAACTGTGCTAAGGGTGTGTACGAGCACCTCCACTCCTATTACTGACTATGACCCTAAGCACTTTTGTCTGGATAACAAGTGGACTTACGTTCTTATCCCAGGGAGATGTGAAGTCTGTCCAGACTCATTTCAAAAATAGTGCCTCCAACCTCAGTAGCCCTTTGCAGTAAATTAACTGCTTAGTCCATAAAGGAGCATCCAGTCCTGAATAACCAAGCTCTCCTTGCATGCTATGATGGCCCTTTCATGATGAATGGCCAGGCACCAGCTAGCCCTGGGCTCTGTAAACTGCCCCACTGGTTTAGTGGGGTCTGAGTAGACCATCTCTAAGTCTGGTTGAGACAAAATCTGATTCTGTGCGGAGCTTGTTTGTTACCAGTGATAATGACAGCTAATGGGTAGCATGTGGTGTGTGTCTATGGGCCCAGTACAGTGTTATGCACACGCGTAGATTCTTGTTCACTCGGTCCCACAACCTTATGAGGCCCATACTGCTTTTATCCCCAGTTTACGGAAGAATCAATTAGAGTCTCAGAGAGATTAAATGACTTGGTCAAGGTTAGTTAGGAAGTGGCAATACTGGAATCTTAAAGCCAGATCTTTCCAATTTCTGAAGCAATACTCTTGCCACTACATTTTACTCCCTCCAGCTTTTATTTGAAAATGGTTAAGTTTACATTATGCATAAAATAGATTATATGAGTTCATTATGTTATATCAACAATTTAACAAGACCCTCCTTGATTTCCAGCAGTGAAAATCTCCACTTTTGGAGAAGGGAGGTCATGTCATTGAGGTTATTTGGACGGATGCGTGTGAGGCCCATCACAGGGTCAGAGCAGACAGGCCGTAGGTGGACTGTAACAAAGAGAGGCCATGTCTAAGTCGATTGAGTTTAATTAAGATTTTAAGGCAGTCACTATATTTAGGGTCCATAAGATTCTGTTGAGGAGAGATGGGAAATAGTGACAGCACTAAGGGTGGAGCCAGGCCAGAGAGCCAGCAGCGTCACAAGCTGGAACCACACATGACGTGTATTTACGCCAGGCCTATTCAGGCACTCAGGCAGAAGGCGATGGTACCTATGTGAGCACCAGGAAGATGCCGCACCTCTTTCATCTGGTCTTCAGTTCCCTTCCTGGTCCTATTAAGGAGGAGAAGATCTGAGAGAGTGCAAAGGCTGACATGTGGCAGAGAGAATGGATGTGTTCCACAATGTCTCCAGGGAGTGGAGCAAGGAGTGGGTGGGAGTCCGATATGGTGAGATTTCAGTGTGACAGAGGGAAGGGCTTTAAACAAGAATCATCTACAGTTTGCGGGGGGGGGGGGGGCAATGGACAGTTCCATTTCTGGGGATTTCTAAGCAGACAAGGAGGCATTTGGGATTCTATAGGACAATGGTTTTGGAAGTTCAGCCACAGAACCCCTCTGCTGGAAAAGTACCCACCCCACCCCACCATCGACACTGCTGACTGGTTAGACTAAATGCCATCAAGATCCCACCACTCCCAGGACACCAGCCAATCATACTCGGCCCCTTCTGTGGGTCATGAACAAACGTCCTCCCCAACTGGCCTTGCCCTGAAGCAGCAAGCTCAGTCTTCGAACCTGGCACTGGGGAGGCACGGCCATTCCTCTCCAGCCTGGAGATGCCCTTGTCCTGCCCTGAGAGGGTCTCCAAATTTCCCACTCACCTGGAGAAGCAGCACGAAGTAGTCCACGGGGCGGTTGCGCTGGTAGAGGTAGTGTTCTGGGGCCTTCTTGTTCTTCTCGTCAAACTTTAGCTCCTGGATCACATTGGGATGTTTCAGGAGCCGGAGCAGGATCTTCTCCGAAAGGTACAGAGATTTAAAGGGTTCCACCTCTAGGGGAGATAGGGAGGGAGGAAGAATCGCAGGTGGAGGAATCAGGATGGGCAAAACCAGGGCATGTATCTAGGGCCACCTCCATTCATGTTCCTGGGCACCAAGCTGGCAGGGCTCTTGTGATTCTCTCAGGTGGAAGGGGTGAGGATGGTTCTTAAACCTGAGTGTGTGCCTCAGGTTTTCGCCATGCCCTCTGGGGAGTGTATCTCTGTGCTGGCACACTGGAGAACCAGGTCACCATTTTGGAAATGTCAGTTTTGCTACTTATTTTTTTCTTGATTTTATTTACAGTTGTACGTGGATTTAAAAAAGAAGGCAATTTCGCCATTTGCAACAACATGGTTGAACCTGGACGGCATTATGCTAAATGAAATAAGCCAGACACATAAGGACAACTATGTATGATACCACTTACATGATGAATCTAAAATAGTCAAACTCATAGAAGCAGAGAGTAACAGCATGGTTGCCCAGGCCTAGTGGGAGGGCGACTTGGGGGAAGTATTGGTCAAAGGGTGCAAAATTTTTTATGCAAGATGAATAAGTCCTAGAGATCTCCTGCATAGCTTAGTGTCTATAATTAGCAATACTATACTGTATACTTAAAACTGTGCTAAAAGCATAGGATCTGATGCTAACATATAAAAAATAATAATAAATAAAGAGGGTGGGAGGAAACTTTTGGAGGTAGTGGATATGTTTATGGCATAGACTGTGGTAATAGTTTCACAGGTGTATACTTATCTCCAAACTCAACGTTGTTTGTGTTAAATATGAACCACTTTTTGTATGTCAATCATACCTCAATAAAGTAGTTTAAGAAGAAAGAGTAATGATAAAAAGAGCACAGATAAGTAAGCCATGTGAACAACAAAGGCTTTAATGCTATGATCAAATGAAATACAGAAAATTCAATCTGGCTTATTTGTAGGACATGTATTTGTTGAGTGAAATGAAATTCCAGGGCGCCTGGGTGGCTCAGTTAAGTGTCCGACTTCTGCTCAGGTCACCATCTCACAGTTCCTGGGTTTGAGCCCCGTGTGGGGATCTGGGCTGACAGCTCAGAGCCTGGAGCCTGCTTTGGACTCTGTGTCTCTCTCTCTCTCTCTCTCTCTCTTTCTCTCTCTGCCCCTCCCCAACCTGTGCTCTCTCTCTCTCTCTCTCAAAAATAAATAAATAAACAAAAAATTTAAAAACAAAGAAATGAAATTCCAAGTTAATAATACAGACAGTTAATTACTGGATAAGTTACCAAAAATGTGAAGCACTGTTGTACTCCATTTACATATTAACAAATATTATATGGGATGTGATGTGATGTGATGTGATGGAAAACAGGCAGGCAGTAGTGAAATCTGTATTCAGAACCAGAAAACATGTTGAAAACTACTTTAAAGAAGCTCCAATCTAAACTTTTCTACTTGTTGGCACCTGGAACAGTATTAGCATTCATTATATTCTCAATAAATCTATGTTGGATTAACTGACAACAGAACTTAGTCATGGGTGTGATCATTCTAAGTCAGCACCCTAATTAGGCCTGGATCAGAGACACATTTTAGCTGCTTTACAAGAAGGAGAAATTTGTATTTGGATCCTCTCGCTTTTTTTTTTTCTTTCTAGAGATTTCAAGATTCACAATTGACTTCTGTATTTTAAGAATTTGAAGGTCACAAGCCTATCTGGTCCTAGGAGGTTATGGGACCCCAGGCCTTGTGGCTAGGTGGGACAGGGCCTTTCCCTCTTCAACAGGAAGATCCTTGGGGGCACCCCAGCTTCAACAGGATGGAGCTCGGCTCCTGCCAGGAAGCAGGTAGAGGAAGGGAAAAGAGCAGCAGTGGTTCCTTTAGCTCTTTTCTAGAGTAAAGGAGAGAAAAGCAGAGTTGAGTTGTACTCACTTCCACCCAAGATCAGGCCTGGGGCTGAAAAAGAAAAGTACGTGGCATCCTGTGGCCCTACCTAAGGCACCCCATCCCCTGGGACAGTGGTTCTCAGTGCGTGCTGCACACTGGTTAGGTTAAGAATGATTGGTATGTGGGTTTCACCTTCTAGATTCTGCTTTACTTGCCTGGGGAGGAGACACAGGTGGGCAGAGTCATACCTGTGGCCATGAAGCGGTGCGTGGCCAGCAGAAGCTGTGGGGAGATCTTCACCCTCATCTCCGAGTCGGAAAGCTTAAACAAGGAGAAGTCATGCCGCTTCCTCTCCCGGTGTGGGACCCTCTGCTTTTTCCGATTGTCGGCTGTAGGATCACAGGAGACAGATGGCGACTATCTCAGAATCGCTGGTGATTTTTGGAAGTTTCCCCAGAGTCACATGGGACAAATAGATCCTTTGGGATCACATGAATTTCTGCAAAGTGTCAACTGTAGGTGACATCACAACTTCTTTCCCAAGAAGCAGAAGGATGTTGATTGAAGGTGGGAGACAGACGCTGCCATGTCTCAGTATTATTTACACTTAGGTGGTGTAGAGTGGAAAAGGGGACAGGCTGGCCTGACACCCCCAAGGTTGGGGCTCTAGTGCCAGCTCCCTTCCTTACAAGCTGTGCAACCTCTCTAAGCATCAGAGTGTGTGTGTTTTAATCAATACAATGAGGTTAATAATCAGCAATAACACTTCTACGTGTGCCATGCAGTTATTATGAGACTCCAATCAGAACCTACCTGTGAAATGATTACAAAATGGCATTCATACATGAGGGACTAGCATTCTCAGCATAAAGGGGATTGGCAGAGCCCAGGAGGTTTCTGCCTCTGCCCTTCTCTCGTCCCCAGAGCTGGGCTCACCAGGTCTCTTCCTGCTGATTTAAACCATGCCCTGAGCACCCGAGGCATGTCACCCAAAGGACATAGGTGTCACCTCTTCCCACTGACAGTTCTCCTGCTCCAACCCTAGCCTCTCCCCTAGGAGAGACTTGAGAAAAAATCAAGGGAAGAAGAAAGGAGAAGGAATGGGGAGAGCCCTATAACTTACAAAGGGGGTTCTCTAGGCAGGGCTCTCAGACAACCTAGAGGGACCCTAGACAGTCTGTGATATTGATTGAGAATATCTGCTTTTTCCAATTTAATTTTTTCTCCCTTATTTTTTAAAGCTTGTGTTAAAAGATATTTTTTTAGGGGTAGGGAGAATGTTTTCTTTGGTCATGTGTCTTTTGCTTTCCCTTAGGTTTTGGGTAAAATTTTGAACTGTCTCACCTATTTCATAGTGCTAAGGGGGGAGAGAAAGGGATTTTGGGTTTTCTCCAAACTTGGCCTGGAGACAAAAAGGGCTGCAGGGAACTTTCAGTGCAGGCTGAGTGGATGCAGTGTAAATTAAAGGGAATGAACCCCAAGGAAAAGAACCAGGGCCCCAGAATCTGGCTCCCTGGTATTGTCCTTCTCCTTTTGGAGCTCACTTCAGCCCCACTGTTTGGGTTTCCTTTTAGAAGTCAGAAAGTGCCCTCCTATCGTGCTGCTGTCTCGTGGGCTTATCTTGGACTCTGGGCTGCTGCTTGAATGCTCCTTTTGCTTGGGTAGCAACAGTGGCAAGAAGCAGACCCGGCTGTCCTGTGGGTCAGGGTCAAGTGAGTAGAAACACCGTATTCCCGGTTCCTTGGCCTTCTCACAGCTTTAAGGAATCATGCCAGAAGCTTATTTATAAGGGCAGGAAAACCCTCGCCTTCTCCTTTAGATAGAGGATTGCTTAGCAAGAGAGCAGCAAATACATGTATCGGATCAATTCTTTTGTTCTCACTGGTGAGCAACCTTCGGATTTATATGACATGCTTGCGTAACTATCCCCTCTCCCTTCTCCATCAGAATGCCACTTAACATTTCATCATTGGAGAATCATTCATCTGATCTTCCTCTTTGTTCCCATTATTTTAACAGTGAGTATTGGGAGCACTAAAGTTGTTAAATGCTGAGGTTGTTAAATGCTGGAGGAAGGAATGTACTCATTTAGACTACTATCATTACTTAGCCACTAACACTTTAGTGTGAATGCCTTCTTCAATATACCTCCTGAGACACTTGGGAATTTTTAATCAAGAGTGGCGGGCAGAGGTGAAGGGAGAAGGGAATGGGGGTGGGGGGTGTAGAGGTTAATCCCTATTGGAAGAAGTTGGGCCTGGCCATGGTATCACAATAAAACCAGATACTGTGACACTCTTGCTATGTTTTGTCAAGGTCTGGTCCACCTTTTAACTTTGATCTCTTCTAAGTGTAAAGGGAAGGTAATTTTTCTGCACCACTCACTGCACCACTCACTGCCTTACAGCATGAAAGCTTTTTCTACTGGGAGCTAGTTTCTGAATGGCTGCTTCTAGCAAATAAGGGCAGGGGTTTGGATGGAATGGGCTATCCAAGGCAAGGAAAAGGGACTGCTGTTCCATGAAGTGAAATTTGGAGGAGGAAATACTTCCTGGCCTAGGGATTCCCACAGATTTAGATAACACTCCCATCCCACAGACACAGCAAGCCTTTGTAGTGTTTGCAACCAAAGCTTTGACAAGGCTCAGTAACCAAAAGCAGTGTCACTGTCTACATAGAGTCCATATTGTTCCTGAGGGCTCAGGGGGTGGGAGGGTGAGGAGAAAGGAGATAGGGTGGGTGCTGGGGATGGGAAGGGAGAATGAGAAACCAGGCTGTAGGGCTGAAAAAGCATGAGGGAGAAGAGCAGTATCGAAGAAGGGGTATTTAAGGTTTTGGCTTAGGTTGTGTGTGGGCAATCTCATGGCAGTCTCCACGCATGCTGACGCTGCGGTGTGAGCCGACTGTGGGAACAGTTCCAGGGAGTGCTAGGTTCTGCGTCTAGGCGGATGAAGAGACAAAACAAAACAACACCGGGGACAAAAACAAGGGCAGAGTGGCCACCTGAGGCACACTTGGTTTCCTCTAGTTCTTTTTCCATCCAAAGACCAGGAGGTCCCCTTCTTAATCTTGGCTCGGTTCCTGAAGGTTCTCTCCTGATAAACATCTAGCTAGCATGTTCTCAGTGACTCAGGGTGATTCAAGCCAGGGTATCTTGCCATGCCAGCACCTGGCATTTGGGGGATGACACACAGCAATGATAGGCTTGTCCTGACACCCTCTCACAGCCTATATCAAACTAAGCCAGCTCTGACAGTCTCAGAAGAAATAGGATGACCTTAGACAACAGCCAAGGCCATGCACTTACTGTAGAGGTCAGTTTCATCCAGGATCTCCGACTTAATGATCTCCTCTATGATGTCCTCCAGAGTGACAATGCCCATCACCTCATAGAAGGGGTCCCCTTCTCCCTCATTATTCACCCGCTGGACAATGGCCAGGTGAGATTTTCCTAGAGAACAAATGAAGTCCCAGTTAAGCTCTGGTACATTTTTAGAAATCTTTCCTGATGAGAAATTACACAAAGTTGCTCTGTGACCAATCTTGGGACTGAACTCATCTTAGGACCTCCTTGAAATATGAAGTTTGTATACAAGCTCTTATAAATGCAAACCTTGTACTTTTGGATCTGTCTCTTTTTTAGGAAAGTTACCCAATATACATAAAGGCAGTTACCTTTTTTTTCTTTGAACTTTCACAGATTAGTAAGTGTATCTAAGTTGAAGGAGGATGAATAATCTAATTGAAAGAATGAAAATTTGGAATCAAAAGAATTAGGTTTGAAGCCCTTCTCCTCCTCCAAACTTCCCCTATCCCTTCTCCCTAACTATTCTGGTTACTGTATGTGCAACTGACCCTAGGAAAATCATTTAACCTCTGCTGAGTCTCAATTTTCTCATCTAGAATTAGGGAATAATATCAGTACGGTGATTTTTTTAAAAATGTTTATTTATTTTTGACACAGAGAAAAAGCACAAGCAGGGGAGGGGCAGAGAGAGAGGGGGAGACAGAAGATCCGAAGCAGGCTCCATACTGTCAGTGCAGAACCCAATGTGAGGCTCAATCTCACATGTGAGATCATGACCATAGCTGGAGTCAGACGCTTAACTAACTGGGCCACCCAGGCGCCCTACCAGTATGGTGATTTTAAAACATGATCCCAAATTCTTTGATACATCTCTTAACGAAAGGTGTGGTCTCTGTCTCCTTCCCTTGAATCTGGGTGGGCCTGTGACTGAGTCAACCAACAGAGGACAGGCACATGTCTGCAATGTGACCTCTGAGGCTAGGTCATAAAAGGCCCATGGCTTCTGCTGCAGAAATGCTCTAAGAAGGCTGAGGCCACCATGGTGGAGAGGGCACATGTGGACGCTTAGGTGACTGTTCGAGCTGAGCCTGGTCTTCCAGCCATCCCACCAAAAGTGCGAGATAGGTGAGTGAAGCTGTGTCCAGTGGATCTGCCATCCCAGCTGATCCAGCCCCAGCTGCTGGGTTTCCCCACCCCCACCCCCACCCCTGCCAGCCATTTGAGAGTCTTCTCCAGCTGCAGGTACAGACACTGTGATGCTAAAGTGAGCAAGTCCTGCTGTATCTTGTCCAAATTCCCAACTCAGAGAACCTGTGAGCTTAATAAAATGGTTGTTGTTTTACGTTTCTAAGTTTCAGGGTGGTTTGCTAACAGTCATGGCAGCTAGGATAACCAGTAGCCATAAGGTGATTACGGAGCTTGGGTGACTTAGTGGGTGTGTGAAAGTGCTCTGTAAACTATAATGTGTCACAGGCAGTTAATTTTTATTGCCCAACAATGAATAATAAGAGTCAACACATATGGAGCTCTAATTATGTGTCAGGCACTATTTGGAGCACTTTGTGTGTACTGATTCATCTGATCCTCCTAACAATCCCTGAGACAAGTACTATCACTATCTCCATTTTATAGATGAAAGAACTGAGGCACAGATTGGTTAAGTGACATGCCTAAAGTTACACAGCCTATAAGTGGCAGAGCTGGACTGCAAACCCAGGTAACTGGATTTAGTCCTAACCTAAGGACTGAGTCTTACCTAACAGTCCTGCAATACTGCCTCACCTTGGTTTGTTTTTATCTGCTGATAAACACATTTCCTGGTCCTGTTTTTAAAATGCAAATCTGGGTGGTTCTTTTCCTTGGCTAAGAGACATTTAAGGAGAAAATCTAGGGTACTGACTTAGAAGATATTCTTGCCAAAAAAAAAAAAAAAAAAAAAAAAGGAAGTTCATGCTTTATCAGTGTTATCCTTTATAAGCTTGGCCAATGCTAAAAATATCAGATAAGAGGAGTAGTCAGTTTGCTGGAGGCATAATTAACCATTGAAATCTAAACACATGAATTTCTGTATCAGATACCTCAAATCACAAGATGGCTACCTTTTGGGGGTTTTAAATTTTTTCAACGTTTATTTATTTTTGGGACAGAGAGAGACAGAGCATGAACGGGGGAGGGGCAGAGAGAGAGGGAGACACAGAATCGGAAACAGGCTCCAGGCTCTGAGCCATCAGCCCAGAGCCCGACGCGGGGCTCGAACTCACGGACCGCGAGATCGTGACCTGGCTGAAGTCAGACGCTTAACCGACTGCACCACCCAGGCACCCCTTTTTGGGGGTTTTAATTATGAGATGGGTTTTGTATCGCTCAAGAATGGTCTTTAATTTCTTCTCCACCTTCAACCTATCCTTCAACTATCCCCAAACTCGTCTGATCATGCCACTACCCTGCTCAAAAACCCTCCAAATCTCCTTAATATGCACAGAATCAAATCCAGATTCATTGGTTTGGTATTATCAAGACAGCAAAATGCCCTGCTACATTCCCTACTCATTCTATACTCCAGGTGCACCATGTTAACTTCACTCTCTCAACCCTGTCTATGTGTATTTTCAAAGTCTTCGTGCACATGGTCTCCACTGGCCCTTCAAGATCCAGCTCAGGGGCCAGCTCTTCAAGAAAGTCCTCAAGAAAGATCTGCCCCATTCTGAATCTGAACGCATCTCTCCTGGCCTGTTTTTGAAGCCCTTGATAACTCTGTTAGAGCATTTGTCAGTTTGCTGCTTCTCATAACTAGCAATGTATGTGTTCTCTACTGGACCATGTTTCTTCCTCAGGCCATAAGACCCTTCAGGGTGTACACCAAGACAGGGTACCTTCCATATAACAGGCAGGCAAATAAATGCCTGATGAATGGAACTGAGACTGAATGAAAATCCATAGTTGATACAATAGATGATATTAAAACCAGACACTAAGACCTTTATTTTCTAAATAAAATACAATGTATTTAAGTTAAAATTTAAACTCTACACCAGTGGTTCTAAAATTATCCTTCTTTGAAACAACTGCAACTGCATTTTATAGCTTAAATTAGCTTATGTCAATTGTTAGAATGTGATCAATTTAAAGGGGTTTTTTCCTCAACACATTGTTCTTAAACTTATGGCACCTGTTCTCACTTTTATGCTAACACGTGCTAACAGATGACAGAACAAATGGCTAGTATAATGAAGAACTCGGAAAAGTGATTTCTTAAAACTATTTTCTGTAAAACTGTATAATTTTTATACTGTGGAGCTCAGAATATATATAATGCAGCCATACAGCCATACTTCTGGCCGCTAAGAGATTAGTTCATATAATGGGATTAAATACTAACATTTTATGATGTTTCACAAAGAGTACCGTAACTTCCATCTGAAAATCAGCCACTGGTCTACACTTTATAAGGCTGATTTGAGGACACACCATGTGATTGCCAGGGAATAGAGATTTTAAGTCCTAATTATGTAATATTCAAGACAATACTCTTATGTACTTGATTAGAAATACTTTGTAATTCACAATTGGCCTTTCTGATTCCCTCAAATACCTATAGAGATCTACACACAAATGAAGGAAGTCATTCTTTCTTGGGAAGAGACTGAAAAGGAATCAGAAATCACATAGCCTTGTTCACATAACCTCTATTCAAGAGACCAGCTATGTCCATAACACACATACCTGAGGTCCACTCTCTCTCAAAAAGGTTGCCCTTTAAGAGACCTATTTCCCTATACTCCTGTTTCCTGGGCCCCAGAAGGGTTGGGGGTGGCTACCCGTGAAGCCAATCTTGAAACATGGAAAATGTAGTCACTTCCTCCTGCCATAGTACTTTGTATAAATCTCTCTTTTGACATTTATACTAACAACAATAATAGCTATTATTATTATAGCAGCTACCATCTGCTATATCCACTCTAGGGGCGAGACATAATTTCACCATGCTGTTGTTCTCTACAAGTGATTCCCCCTACTATGATGATAAGCTTTCTGAAGGGCAACAGCTATGTTCTACTTAATCTCCATTTCCCCAGAATCGAAGAATAGCACCTGGCACAGCATAAGAACTCTGTAACTAGCAGGTGACAAATGGATATCCATATGCAGAAGAATGAAGTTGGATGCCTACCTCACAAAGTTAACTCAAAATGGATCAAATGCCTAAATGTAACAGTGTAAACTACAAAACTCTCAGAAGAAAACATAGGAGTAAATCTTTGTGACCTTGGAATAGAAAATGTTTTTTAGATAAGACACCATAAATACAAGAAAACAAGAAAAAAAATAGATAAGCTGGACTTTAGAATACTTTTAGGATGTATTTAATGACTACCAGCAAATCATATATCTGATAGAGAGCTTGTATCCAGAATATATAAAGTGTACGACACATAAAAACACAACTCAATTAAAAAGGGGGCAAAGGATGTAACTAGATAGTTACCTGAGGAAGATATACAACTGGCCAATAAGCACATGAAAGGATGCTCAGCATCTTCATAATTAGGGAAATGCAAATCAAAACCCTAAAGAGACAAGACTTCACACCCACCAGAATGGTTAGAATAAAAAAGATAACAGCAAATGTGGATGCGGATAAACTGGAACCCTTAGACACTGCTGGTGGGATTGTAAAAGAATCACCTGCTTTGGAAAACAGTTTGGCAGTTTCTCAAAATATTAAACATAAATTATCATATGATTCAGCAATTCCACTCTTAAGCATACACCACCCTAGTAAACTGCAAACATATGTCTTCACAAAAATATGTACACAAGATTCCTATTATTCCTAATAGCTAAGCGGTTGAAACAACCCAAACGTGCATCAACTGCTGAATGGATAAATAATATGTGGTATATCCAGACAATAGAATATTATCTGGCCATAAAAAGGGAACGAAGTACTGATACATGCTACAACATGGACAAACTTTGAAAACATTATGCTGAATGAAAGAAGCTAGACCCAAGGGAGCCACACCTTGTATGATCCCACTTATATGAAATATACTATGAATAGGTTAAATCTATAGAGAAAGGAAGTCGACCAGTAATGTCCAGGAGCTAGGGGAAGAAGGAGGTGGGGAGAAACTGTGGGG